GGAAAAATATTTTACTTTCTATTTTTGCAAAAACAATAATTTTTTATTAAAGTACATTATTTTAATTAAAGAATCACGCAAGTTTCATTTCATTTCATGAAATAACAAAAAAATGGCAGCTTTTCTTTGAAAAAATGATATTTTTCAAAACGGTAACTCATTTATAATTAATTTTTGATTGTTAAATAGTTTTTTCATCAAATTGAATAATACCGTTGGATTTATGAGAAAATTTTACCCCAAAAAAGTGTGGTTTTCAAAACATTTCTGTTTTTATCCTCAGGAAATATATACAATTTAAGATGTCAATTCCAAATTCGCACCATTATTCTATTAGTGGGTGCTCGAACGAAGTGTGCGGTTTGAAGGTTAATAGTAATCAAAAATGTAATTCGTGGAAAAATTAAAAATTTTATGTAGAAAAAGAGTGTGACCGCCTTTGGATAATTAAAAACAAGAGTTATCGTCCTTCTTGGCGTACTTGTATAATTAAAAAAGATCTGAGAAAACCGTCGTTCCTTGTTACTTTTTCTACATAAAATTTTTAATTTTTCCACGAATTACATTTTTGATTGATCCGACCGTGCCTCTTCCACGCGGTACACCTTAGATAACGCGCCGGCGATACTTAAACTTTGAAGGTTTGTAACTTAGGAAGATCTCAAGCAAAAAGGGTTTGTAACCAGTGTTTCGGAAACGTCTTGACACCAGCTTTAAGAATATGTAATAGAAAATAGGAGTTTTCATTTAAGATTTCAAAGTTGATCTTTACGGTGTCCTTCAAGGTCACATGAAGGTCATTTCGATATAACCATATAATAGATCACTTGATATACTAAAACTTTTGTATTGAACATTTTCTTCCATAATTATTATTTTCCAAGATATTTGACCTACGGAACTTTCTCCCATCACTGTATATGTATGTACGACGTCATACTGAGAGCCTTCCATTTTCGATTAAACGTCCAACAAATGAAAAATTAAACATTAAGACTAAAAAGATTATAGACGTTATAATCAATATTAATAGTACATATTAATTAAATATAATTTTAAAAAAAAAGGAGAAATAAAAAGGGAAAAACAGTTATTAGTACTGCAATCGAAATTGTCACAACTGACCGCAAAACTAATTTCTTAATAATCTCCAAGAATTCACACTGAGTGAAGAGGCAGCAAAGAAGCTGGAAGGCAAGACAGGATGTGTATGTAAAAAACGAGGAGCATAGGAGATGGTTAATTGAGGTTTAAGCAAAGTCTTGTCTTCTCTTGAAAAGTTGTCATTTTGATACGAAAACGTCCTCGTTTTACATAGGCAAGCCGTTGTACATAGCAAATTGTAATAAACTCTATGTAATACAAACAACATCCCCCGTTCTCCGTACAGGACTCGTTTCCGCGACGAGACCACCATCCGAGAGTCGGAGTTCAGCGGTAATATAGAACGTTCGGTAATTTATTCGATAAACATACAACAAGATCTCATATTCCTCTTTCTTCTCTTTGCTTAACCGCGTGTCCAAAGGCACACACTTCTTTACATACACACAAACACACACACACGCACGCAAGCACGCACGCACGCACGCACACACACCTCAATATGATACAGCGATATACAAAATTAACGTTTCGTAATTTTCTGTAGATGTCAAACGACGTACGTCACCTCTCCATATCGCCGTCGATTTATAATGTACAAAGCGAATGTATCGTAGTGTTTTTGTGAACATGCACTGTGTGAAGTACGCGACCCTGCTCCGACAACTAGAAAAATCTATGTCTTCAACGAGAGTTAGCATTTAAACTGGCTAGATCGACTCTAGAATATACCTGTAGCGCTCTCGTGTTCATTCAATTGTTCCTATCTACATACATGTGGTGGAAAATGTCAAAGTCGGTTGAGACACTTTGTTTTAGTGATCTTCGAGAACGCATCCTGATATTCAGTAAAATTTACTTTCCGATTGTCAAAAGAAACTAATTCTTCTAATTGACGCGTATTTGGAAAAATCATTAGAAAAAAGAATCTCGACCATTTTGACGCCCATATTCGCTTGATGCGAAAAATGCCTCCAAATAGTTACGCATATTTGAGACATATTCCGGTTTTATATCTAGATAACTATATCGCAATCGCATCATAATTATTGCTTAAACAATACGAAAATACGTCGCAAATGTATGTAACTTCATTGTATTAAGACATTCATGACGCCTAGTATATATATTTTTTTTATTTTTTTTGTTTTGCCTATTGAAGGATCCAATCGCTTATCTTTAATTCGAGTATTGAAAGAAAGATGGATAGAAATTGAAAATAATTGACAGGAATTTATCCGGAGTTGAGTATCTAATTTGAAGAACAGACGCCTGTCGATTTCTTTCAATTCGATCTTCTTTATGACATAATAAATAAAATGCATCTACATAAATCATTCATCGAATCACACTTGTTTCTCTATTTCATGATCGAAAATGTGTTAGCGAACAATCCTACGCTATGCGTTTTAATTCTGATCATCTAATCTGATTTGACGATCGATGACGATGGAGGACAATTTTGTATCTTAGCACACATTTTGATATCGATTGCGTTCGCCACATTTGATTGATCGCATAGAAACTGACTGTACCGGGCAGGATCGGATAGCACATTAAATTCGTCCTAGAAATTCGACCATAATTCGACTGCGTCCGCATTTACAGTAATGAGTACATCGCAGTAACGAGAGATAAGAGAGCACAGAATATCTCAGAGAGCTCATGATCAGGATTGGTATATGTGATATTAGAGGGGAATAAAAAATTCAATTAATATTATATAAAAATATTTCGAAAAGAGAGAAAGAATTAGCTTACTTTCATTATTTCTCTCTTACTAAATTCTCCATTTACTCAAGTTTTCCCCCTTGTTCTTAAATTAAATATCAGTTACATGAATTCTAATTCGCGCGCATGAAATAACCAGTTTATTGATTAGAGAAATCAACGAATAATTAGAAAATCGTTCAAATACATGCGTTATGTAGCAATTCTGATTGTCCGACGAGACAACTGGATGTATGCGCCCCGTCAGGCAAAAGTCGGTCCGATTCGCGGCATTATTTATGAATTTCATTGTTGATTAGTTTGACACCGATCATTGGCTAATCGAAATCAGCTCAATCTCAGCCGAGGAAGTAAGTACTCTTTCCCAACGCGCACATCAGCAGCAATATCAAGAGAAGCAAGTTCGACCTGGTGCTCGTCGCCAAGCCGCATTGATCCCTGATACGGCTCTCGTCAGGATGCGTGCGTATGCAGGACTGCGGCCGCTTTCGCTTGAGACCGATGAGCGTCTTTTGGCAAACCAGCGTGTTATTTTCGTAGATCACTTCCTCAGGCTTGACGTTCAGTGTCGGTGACGTCGTGTCGCCGCAAACGGTATTTACCACCACAAGCAACATATTACTATAAGACACCGGCTGCACCATGTACCATCTATACTCGCAATTCATGTCCATGTCGAACGAGTCGAACGAGGCGTTTCGCAGATATAAATATATCTGTAAATTGGATGCATATACATTAAAATGTGCCAAAAAAAAGGCAAATTAGAATTAAGAATTAAGATATTAACTTATTTCAAAATAATTAAAGAAACTTTAAATGCTAAGAAAGCCACATTGAATTAATAATCATTTACAATGTATCTATTATTACAATCGCTTAATTTCTTGGCAATTTGAAATCAATTTTTCTTCAGTAAAATCTATACCTACCATAAATTATAATTGTAATCTATAATTTCGGCATAGTTTATTATATATATAATCATTATATATAATTTTAAATTAAAGTTTACCTCTTTATCACACACTTCCGGTCGTGTACGATTGATCAGAATGTTCTGATCAAAGTTGGTTCCGCCTTCCTTTTCAGGAACCGGCGGAGGTTTATCCTCGTTTACGTGATAATCACCGGCCGATTCATCGTCGCTAACGTAATATGCTTCCGCGTCATCAGAGTCCATTACGCCCGCCTTTGCCCAAGCCCAAGCGGCTTGACCGATCATCCATGATAATGCTTTCTGGAAATGCTTCCATGGCTGCGACATGACATTTTACTATTTAATTTTAGAGTCAATTTTGACATTTATAACTATAAATTATGATATCTTAATTGTAACATTTGTTGCGTCAAGACTTATCTATTGCTTCACTGAAAAAATATTTCTTCACTGAAAAAATAAAAAAAAAGACATGTGCATTGTCTGACGCTTGGATTATCAAATAATTAAAAAATCCTTTAAAAATTCTTTAAATAAAATTGATTATAATTATACAGAATTTATGCAAAGCGAGAGATGGCTCGCAACTTTTCCTTTGACCGGCATTCTTGACTTGACAGTATTATTATTACAATTGAAAGTGCTCACGTTGAGAAGAATGTTGCCGGCGTTGTTGGTTTGCGAACTCTTGAAGCACACCGCCTGATAATCAAAGATTCTTATCCTCTCAAAGACACCATCTCTGACTAAACTGCTCATTATCGGACCTCTGACCTCGCCAAAAAATTTACCGACGTCTGTCTCGTCCTCGGCGGCGATTATATAGCCGTTATTGTCAATGAGATAACATGCCCAGGACCCGTCGCCGCAGTAGTGACTTTTTTCTTTTTGTTCTTTTTGGTCTTTTTGGCAACCATCGCAGTTATACGTTATATTCTGGAAAAGCGCTTGCAAGGCAGTGTGCTGGAACTGGAAGCCGACCACCATGGCCGGCGCCTTCCCTTTCTTTCCCTTATTTTCTGCAAATTTATTTTTGCAGATTTAATATCCTATCTTTTCACATATACCGTTTACATTTTAAGCAAGTTATGTAATTAATTATTAAATCCTCTCGTTAGAGTCTGATTATCGAAAGACTATTAAATTTATACGAATAATGCAACTAACTCGCGATAATTACTTATTTAATATTTCAAATATGAATTTTATAAATATATATAAATAATCTTGTTCTCATTTTGGACGTTTTGTTTCTATCTCATCTATACGTATACGAACGTTCTTTTTCCTATCTTAAAATTGCCATGTTACCTGCATGAAGCCTCTTTTCCCCAATGTTTAAAAATTCATATCTTCCAGAAAAATAAAGATATCGATTCTTTTTGGGATCATCTTAAAGATGAATTATGTGGCTATTTTTAAAAAAATCGTGATTTTATTTAAAAATGGCCAATTCAATATGGCCGATCAAAACGTCATTTTTTTGAAAATTTATTTTTTTCAAGAAAATTTATTTTTTTTTTTCAAAAATTGTTAAAATTTGTTTAATTAAAATGTAAATTGGTGTAAATGTTATTAGAAGATGTATGGGGTTTAATACGCAACGCGCGCGAAGCGCGCGCCTGTTATGTACTAGTATTTTTAAAAAATAAGACGAATAAGTATATAATAGTAATAAATTAAGAAATTAAGGCTCTTGTCGATTTTAACACTTTAAAATTGAAAGAGGAAACATGCTACTTTTCTATTTTGAACGGTTTGAATACCGACTTACCGATAAACACAGCACGAGTGGCAGTGACTAGAGTGGTGTTGTCGGCACCCTCGTCTTCGAGCGGCACGGAAAAAACAAAACTATCCGGATTTACGTAGTACTGCTCGACCGCACGTTTATACCATACTTCGTCGATGGCACGAGGATACAGCTTACTGAAATGATCCTCTGGCGACGATATATCCTTATCTACTGGAGAAAAGTCTTGCCATCTGGTCAATCCGCTATGTGTAGCCATAAACGCCAGGACCACTCCAAAGCGTTGCTTGAACTGCTTCCTACGAGAGAGAACACTTCAGAAAAAGCGATTCGGATCGTCCACGACTCGAGCTGGCATTTACTTGTACTCTTTTAAAGGAGCCGTTTCAAGATATACAACGCTCAATACATAACTATACATATAACTTATACAGGTCTCTCAAAATTCGTATGCAAACTCGCAGCTCCTTTGCGCCATATACATGGAATTTGATTTAAAAAAAAAATAGTAAAAGACAAAAAATTATACCGCAAATTATTATCTTCGATTTTCTACTAAAAGTAGAATATGATTTTATCATTCCATCATAAATATATATTTGTCTATTATCTCTGTTAATTATTGATTTAAATTAAATACTGAAAGAAATTGTGTTGCGAAAAGATTCAACAGTCAGAGAAAGAATTGCCCTTTTGTAGAATGGCGCAAACGAACGAATGATACTTTCATTATTATAAGTCAAAATCAATTGCATGTTGGGAAAATCCTCTTGCTTTCGCAGTGGCGTTCACAAAGCATACTTCCTTGTCGGGCTTCTGTTCCTAAAAAATGATAATCGCCCTACGACTTGCAAGCTTTTATTTGCGCCGACCTCAAAGTGTCGAAAGAAGTGAAAAAAGAAACAGAGTGAGAAGACAAAAGCAGAAAGAAAAAAAGGACAAGATTATATCGCAAAAATGTAAGAATAAATAAAAATGAACAAGTATTTTACGAAGGAAGGTAGCAAATTAATTTGAGAAAAGAGGAATCGCGAGAAATAAGATTCTATTTCAAATTTTTCTATAAAATTTTTTTTTTCTTCAATTAACTAAAAGAGAAAGATAAAAATGCAGTTTCCTAAATGAAAAGTGGAGCAGAGTGAAAGAAACGGATTCTATGAAAGAAAGAGAGAGGGAAAGAGAGATATATTGAGCTAAGAAGAAAAATGAAAGATAGGAAGAGCCGATATTCGCATTATAATGTACGACATGAACGGTTGCGAGTTAATTCGTTACTTTCTAAAAATGTAAGGTGCGTTGTGATGGCGTTACCTGGTCATCTGATTCATCAGCCTAGCTAAAGGTCTGCATGGCGTCAAAGTGGTAAGTTACATTAGTCAAAAGGAACAGGTGAATTTCTATTCTCATAGAAATAAGAAAAACAAGACAGAGAAATATAAAGAAATTGTGCATAAAGTAGAAAAATAAGATAAAAACACGAGACGGAGAGTATTTTGTGTCAAAATGAGCACGTGTAAGTTTTAATTCTGATAAGGAAACAGTGATAGAGAAAGAATGATGTCTCCGTCCTAAAGATACGTCGAGTAGCGATTAATCGTTCTATCTTTATTTATTTTATATTTTATCTTTACGAACATTTTTTACTCTATTTCTGATTATCGGTAATTACTTGTTTAATATTAAATATTCACGGTAAAATCGGAATGTGAATCTGTCAAATTTGTTTATAGTTCTTTTATAGTCTTTTTTATAAATTAATTATCCCAAGTAGCGATAAGTGCCGTTTTAATTACCATTAATTACCATTACATAATTATATCTATGTGAAAGCGATATAATTTTATATATATATATATATATATATATATATATATATATATGAAACGCGAATAATTATGTTAAAAAAATCGACCGATTAATCGCGTGCTAGTTTATAAGGGAAATAATGTGCATAATAGGGAAAAGGAAAATTCGTTTATTGCTTTTTTTTTCGTAAGTAGTCTAGTCATGCTGTGTAAAGCACTCTTTTACGTTGGCTAGTAAATTGAAATTATCCTCCCCCTGATTCCTTGGTGCTGGGATTCGGTGGGATTTGCTGGGCAAACCACTCGGTTACCTTAGCATCGTATACCAGACTAAGCAGCAGATATCTGTCGCAGAAATATGAGTTCTTGTCGCCCTTGTAGGGATGAGCTGTCGGAACACAAATAGAATTTAAACGTTATTAATTTTAATATTGCTAGAAATAGTTTTGTTAAGGGGGCATATACACCTAGAGAGGTAAAAAAAATCGATTTTTTTTTTAAATACATATTTTTAAAGTACGATGTCTTGAAAATGTTTTTGGAAGCATCCATTTCAGCAGAGGGTTTGCTTTATAGCCCTGGCGTAGATGATTCAATGTAAGTAAAATTTTTAATATTAATGTAATGTAATCTGAATGTAAAACTTTAAACGCGTTTTTCTCAAAACGTGGTTTTCAAAACGTGTGACCACTATATCTCGAAAATGGTTTGATCGATTAATTTGCAATTTTACACGCTTTTTCTAGACATTAAAAACTAGTTCCCTACGTAGGATTTTTTTTACGCTTCGTTTTTTTTTTCGTAACCAAAAAACGAGTAAGACTTAAAGTGATAAATCGCTATGTTGACTTTGACCAGCTGCCATATTGTTCAAAAGCAATATTTTGAAAAACGGCTTCATGGGGAACTAGATCTATGTTTCAACTTTATATAACTCGTTACATTTTGCTTTCAGATGAGTCCTGTAAAAACAGCAGTGGTCACCGCAAAAGCCGTTTTCAAAACACGACTATGAAAAAATTAAATAGCCAGCGAAGCCATTTTTTAAATCATTTTTTAATCAAATATATATACATATACCTATATATTTTTTTTTTAAAGAAAAAAATGTAATCTTTCAATGAAACAGATCCGACTTCTCTATAGTGTCTTTTCGTTTTTCCGTAAAAAATTCGCAAATTTAGACCTTATTTTGACTAGTGTCTAGGTGTATATGCCCCTTTATATGTGCAACGGTAAACATAAAAGATCGATGACTTACGATGAGAGCTGGAATTGGAACTCGCAGCGGAGTATTCCGGCGGTTGGGATCGCTGCTTGCTATCGATCCACTTCCAGCCTGGTTGGCGGGTACGCTCCAGAAAATGTAGGAGCTGTGACTCCGAGGAGTTGAACTTGTGTTCATCACCCTCGTAGTG